TATATATATATATATATATATATATAGATTGTCTCCTTATATATGAATATTGTGTCTCCTATACAGATCCGTCGTCGTCTGTCTCCTTCTTATATGGCTGTAGTCTTTGACCACCCAACAGGTCGCTCGTCTCGATTGGCTGTCTCTAATTTATATAAAATTCATCGAACACATCCGCCAATTGAATTTACTGAACAAATGCAAAAAGCTAAAGTACTATGTTGTGCATTAGGTACTACTATTCCTCCTGCTGCTGCTGCTGCTGCTGTTGTTGTTGTTGCTGTTGTTGTTGTCGTTGTTGCTGCTGCTGCTAATGCTCGTGCTGTTGTTGGCTTTGGTAATGCACCTCCTGCACTTAGGGTCCCTTATCTTATTGGGTAATTGCTGTGCTGCATGCATGCATTCAGGACTTCTGCCTCTGGAAGTGGAGGGAGTTGAGGGGGACGACGTCATCGCAACTCTTGTTGACCGTCTCTGTGGAGGAGACGCTCAGCAGCAACAGCAGCAACAGCAGCAGCAACAGGGGGACGGGGAGGGGGCCTTGAAACCGGAGATAGAGGAAATTTATATTGCGACGGTAGACAAGGATCTGCTCCAGGTACCATTTATGTACTTGATGCAGCTGCTGCTGCTGTGGCTGCTGCTGTCTTACTTGCTGCCCTTGCTGCTTAGCTTCCTTCTGTCTCTGCTGTTATGTTTCCTGCGGTTTCTGATCGTAATGCTTCCTCAGTGTCTCCGTTATTCTGATGCTTCTTTGCGGCAATTGCTGCTGTTTTGGTGGTTGCTGTGTTTGCTGCTTTGTTTCCTTCGTGTCTCTGTATCCCATCGTGTCTGTATCTCCCGTCTTTTGTTCTTTACCCTCTATCCTGTGTACTGCCTCGCCAGCACTTATCTTCTTGTGCCTCTCTTTGTGTCTCTTTATATCTCCTTATGCCTGCCAACATCTGCCTATGTCTCTCTTTGTCTGTCTATCTCTGTTACAGTTGCTGCGCTACAACTATCAGTCTCCACGGTCGAGTCCCCGTGTGAGCCTGTTGGCTCTCCACCGCCAGTGCCAAATCCTCGACGCCCAATTCGTTCGCGATGAATACGGTAAGCAGTCGCCTCTGTTTACTACACTTTGCTTGGCTCTTCTATGGTTTAGTTTACTACCCTTTAGTAGGGTTTCGTTTGCCTCGTCAGGGTTGCTTTGGGCTCAGGGCTTGGGTATAGAAGGTCTCTCTGGGGTTTGTTTGGTGCAGCCGGTGCCTTTAATAGGGTTGGCTGTGTTGCTGCAGTTGCTGCATGCATGCATGAGCTGTGTGCGTGGGTCTGCGGGTTTTAGGGGTGGAGCCACACCAGTTATTGGACTTCTTCTCCCTCGTGGGGGATCGAGCCGATGGTATCGTCGGCTGCCGCGGGATCGGAGCGGCTGCAGCACGCAAACTCCTCCAGGCAGTTGAGAACCTTGAAGTTCGTCGCGAGGGTTTAGGAAAGTTTAGGAGGGTTTAGGAGGGTAGAGTGGGTTCAGTATTCGTCGGGTAGGGTTAGCTAGGGTTTAGAAGGATTCAGTAATGTATTTGAGGTCTTCGTAAGTTCTACTAGGGTATGCTGGGTCTCGTTAATTCCTTAGGGTTTAGGGTTTAGTGTTGAGGATTTTCTGCGTAGCGGTGCTTCCTTGCGCTTTCTTTCGCAGGCATGGGAGGCCGCGTCTCCGACGTATCTGCAGCAGCTGTCATTGAAGCAGCGGCAGCTGCATGCGCTGCAGGAGTTCCTCCCGCAGTGGCGCACCAACCGCCGTTTGGTGTCTCTAAATGCAGCTGTCCCCGCAGCTCGGTGCTGCAACATCGGTGCCTTTCGTCTCCTTCCAGTGTCTCTGCAGATACTGCGAAGGCACTTCGCCCCCTACAACCTTGCTAAACAAGCAGAACTGGTCTGCTGCGGCTTGCGTCTGCTGCTGCTTGCGTCGGCTGCTGGTCTGCTGTGTCTCTATCTCTCCACCTAGTGTCTGCTTTTCCTTTTGCAGTCCTAGCGTGGGTTTGTGCTCCTCATTTACATCTCGTATCTTCATCTGTTTGTTTTCTGTTTGCTAGCTGCTGCGCCGCAAGCTCTCTCTACTCTCCATCTCCATCCCCTCATACCAGTGTCCTTTGGAAGGTTTGTCTCCTGTTGTATTTTCTTTTGACTGCTGCTGCTTCCGCGTCTGCTGCAGTGGGTTGAAGCCGGACAGGCGGAGACACCTAACGCCCATAGCTGGTTGCAGCAGCAAACGTCAGTCGCGGGCCCTACCGCTCAGTCGCAAGGCCAGGACCAGCGCACAAACAATGCAGCATCTGCAGCAGCAGCAACATCTACTGTAGAAACTGCAACACCCTCCGCGGTGAATGCTGATGGAGAGCCCAGGATATTTTCAGCGAATCCCGAAGGGGACAAAGCGGAGGCGGCTGCGCCCCCAGCATCTGCTATAGCGTCCCCTAATTTAGCATCTTCTGCTGAAGCAATAATAGACGGAGATGGAGCAGCAGCAGCAGCGCACGGTGCAACAATTTCACACGAGGCTGCCACAGCACACACGGGAGAACCTGTTTTTGCAGCAGCAGTAGCAGGTGCAGCAATGCCCGCTGCTGCACCTGGAGGAGACGCATCGGCAACACCAGCTGCACCACCAGCTCCAGTAGCAACATCGGATGAAACTGGTGCTGCTTCTCCTGCTTCTTGCACGAACGTAGGGGTTGGATGCGTGGGCACTGTTCGGGACTTGGGCGCAGCACCTGTGCATACAGCTGCAGCTACAGCAATCTTACGAGGGACATCTTCTTCCCGGCAGGCTGCAACACCAATTCAGAGCCATCAAACGCCTGCAAGAGTGGCAGCACCAGCGACGGCGCAATCGCCATCAAGCAGCAGCAAAACCGGGCATTGGGGGCTCTTGAGTACAATATCCTCGCTGCTGCCAGCGTGGATGGTAGCCCCACGAGCCCCCTTGCTGCTGGGGGCCCTGGGAGCTCCAGCTGTCCCCTGGCCTGGGGCATCCAGCAGCGCTGCTGGGGTTGCATGCAGATCCCGCAGTCTGCTGCAGTGTGCACGCGGGTCATTGCAACGCCGCCTTCTCATCCGTGGAGCAGCAGCAACAACAGCAACAGCAGCAGCAACTACTCCGGCAGAAACCCTGACTGCATCATCCCAGATGAGGCACGCCAGCAACGGCAGCGGAGGCAGCAGCAACTGCACCACTGGCAGCAGCTGCTGCACTGAAATGCTGGTTAGCCAAGGTAGCAGCAGCTGTAGCCGCCTCAGCCATGACAGCACTAGCAGCACGGGCAGCATCAACAGCAGTACAAAAGGTAGCAGCAGCTCTTTGAATGTTGCGAAGACAGTCTCTCCGTTGCAGCTACAACAGCAGCATCACCTAGCTACTGCTGCTGGTGTGGACCCTGTTGGTCTAGACATCGAGAAGGGCCCCCCATATACGGATGCTCACCACACGTTTTTCAGCGTTGATGCCCCATTTGGGGCTGCAGGTACCGGTTGGCAGCAGCAGCTGGAGCAGAAGATGCAGCAGCAGATGCAAAATCCCAGTGGGCAACAGAGGCACCAGGGGGTACAGCATCAGGTGCAGCAGGAGACAGAGCAGAAGGTGAATCAGGAGATGCGCTCAATGTTTGCGGTGGAGAAGCATCATGTGGACATGTTGTTACTGCACATGCAACAGCAGCAGCAGTCAACCGCCGCCATCGAAGCAGCAGCAGTGGGAGCAGCTGCATCAGCAGCATCGATCCTGAACGCAGCTGCCACCCGCGCTGGGCGGACACATGCCAGGCGCACTGCTGCGGCACCTCCCGCGCCAACAGCAACATCATCCCCCGCCATGGCAGCAGAAGTAGCAGCAGCAACAGATGATGGTAGTGGCACTGAGGCGTGCGCTGCAGTATTTGCTGGAGAAGCAGGTTGCGAAGCGAGGGAAGAGACAACAGCTGACGCAGCACCGGGTGAAACAGCACTGCCGGGGCTACTGCTGCCGCCCATCGAATGCTGGGGATCGTCTCCTCCCCCCTCCCCGCTAGAACAAGCCAAGGCGTTGCAAAGCACCCTGTGTCTCTGTCTCAGCTATCTAGCCCATCTGCAGCACGCGGATGCGCGCACCAGCAGCAGCAGCAGCAGCAGCAGGAGCAACTACTCGTTAGCTGCAACAGCCTATGCAAGCCTTGATGCATCTTCTGACGAGTGCCTCCGCCACTTACCTGAACGCCTCCCGATCGACCCTCTGGACATGTGCTTCTCTGTAGTGGGAGGAAGCATCGAGAACACAAGGAGCAACAGCAGCGGCAGCAACTTCACCATTAGGAAGAGCAGCAAGCCAACTTATTACCTTGGCGGCGATCTGCTACTGCCGGTGGCTGTTTCCTGGTTGGCCTCCTCTCCCCAGGGGGATCACACCCCAGCCTGCGCCTATCTGCCTTTTCACCTGTCCTTCAGCATTCGCCTTCCTCCAGGTCTGCTAAAGCTTCTGCGCTGCAATCGTCAGCAGCAACAACAGCAGCAGCAGCTGCACCAGCAGCAGGCACAGGAGAATGCCGAGGATATTTTACACTTTCATTTTGCAGTCCCAGAATTGCTGAAGGACGTCGCTGCAATGGAGGTGCTGCGCCTGTGCCTGCGCGGCGATTGTTCTGTTGATCCTGCTTCTGGATCTGCCGGTGCTGCTGCTGGATGTAAGACAGAAGGGGAGGCTGAAAGTGCAGCGGCAGGTGAGGGGCCCCGTCTGCTGTGGGTAGCACACGATGCAAAGCAGCTGCTGCACCTCCTTTGCAACATCGGCCTGTCCCCTCCACCCGCAGCGCAACTGCACTGTACGTCCGTCGTGGCCTGGCTGCTGCATGGTGCAGACCCAGGGAACTCCGAGCTGCTTCAGCAAGCAGCCCTCTTTGAGGTGCTACAGCAGCAGCAGCAGCAAAAGAAGAAGCAGTCCAATACATGTGCGAGCGTCAAAGCAGAAGCAGCGGCAGAAAGTGGCTTCGCGGCCGAGAGGAGGCCCAGTGGCGATCCCGTAAATGAAGCAGGAAGGCGAGGGGGACCACCGTGCATGGCTGAAGATATCGCCTATGAGCATGAAGACGACATAATATCTCAGGGCGCTCTTGTAGCGTCTCCATACAGCTCGACGATATTGACAACAATGGTTGGAGCAGCTGCAGCTTCACGGGCTGCTGCTGCCGGAGTGAAGGGCAGTGCGCGGAAGGCCTCGCAGGAAGCAGGAGCAGCAGCAGCTGCTGCTGCTGGTTCTGCAGAAACTGGGGCGCCCAGGCGGACTTCCGGCGTTCGCCCACCGTGGCGTTGCTTCGCTGATGCGCGATGCTCGCTGTTGCCGCCTGAGCAGCAGCAACTGCAGCAGGGTCTCTTCGGGCGCTTTGGGTGGGGAGTGTACAGCAGAGCGCCGCAAAAGAAAGCGGGAAGCAGAAATAAAGACGGGAAAGGCAAAGAAAAAAGCAAAGGCTGCAGCACCCCTAGCGGGCTGTGCAGGGACAATGCAACTGCCGCGAAAACAGAAGGAGCGGCAGCAGAAACTGCAGCAGGAACTGCAGCAGGTGTAGCATCCCGGGCCACTCCTCTGCCCGTGTGTTTTCAGCCTGTGAGGCCCCCTACAGGAGCAGCAACCGGAAAGGCTGTTGTTGTGCATGTTCCTGCTAGGTCGCCGAATCTTGCCGCGCACTCCGGGTGTTTCTCCGTCTCCGTCAGACTGCCTCAGCAATTCAAAAAGTGCTGCCCCCCACGGAGTCCCGAAGAGCTTAGCTCGCTGGACGTTGCAGCTTTCTGTGAGGCGCGGGGGGCGGCCACACTTGTGCTGCTGCAGCAACAGTACAGCATGTTGCAGCAGCAGCAGCAGCAGGCGGCAGAAACTGACACGAACGTCGCCGAGGTAGCAGCACAACCGCTCAGCTTGTCTTGGGGAGTATGGGCACATGTCGAGAGGCCCCTCATTCCTGTTCTGGCTGCGCTGGAGAGAAGGGGGTTGTCTCTTTCGGTGCCTCTTTTGAAACGCGGCTGGGTCGAAAAACGCGGGAACGGACCCCCAGTGGAGGACGAGGCAGCAGCAAGGGGACACAGCACGCATCACCCTCCTCACCTCCTCGAAGGGAGCATACCCCAAGGAAAACAAACAGCCTGCGCTCCTTCTGGTGTTGGCGCTGCTGCTGATGCTTCTAGTGTTGCTCTTGCTGCCGCTGCACCGGGGCGGCTTGCTACCCGCCTTGGTGCAGAAGCAGCAGATGTAGTAGCAGGAGCAGCAGCTGGCGACCCCAGCGAGGCTCTTCAGGAGCAGAGATACCTGGAGCAGCGAATCGCGAAACTTATAGAAGAGCTTACAGGCCGCACAGATGTAAACATTAATTCTCCCAGGTGCAGAGACAATCAACGATAAATTTTTGTTACCACTAGACAACAGTGAAAGTGACGGTAGTATTAACAATACCAACACAGTCTCCGGAGGGGGGAGCAAATATCTCCGGACGGCCGCCGCAGCACCTGTTGCTTGGTTGCTGTAGGCCTTTCTCTGCTCTCCTCGTTTCTTTCTGTTTATTCTTGCAGCCAACTCGCAACGGTTCTCTTCGATGATCTCCAACTGTCTCCTTCATCGCCTGCCGTCTCTGTAGCCGCAGACCCTGACGGCAAGGCGCCGAGAAGCAACAGCAAGGCTAAAAGCAGAAGCAGCAGCAGCAGCAGTAGCCGCTCTACAGGGGCTGAGGCCTTGCAAGCGTTGCTTCGGGAGGCTCGCTCGAAGGAGAAGGACCCTCATGCACGGCAAGTGGCAGAGTAAGCCTGAGCTCAGCTTGTGCTGCTTTTCCTTTGTGCGTCATCGGGCGTCTAGGTACCTGATTCGTTGCAGCAAGACTGCTGCAGCATTGCTGCAGTAGCGCAGCAGCAGTAGTGCATGTGGAGTGGTAGAGACTTGCTTTTTGTCATTGTGTCTCGAGGCTGCCCGTGTTTTCTGCTACTCCAGGCTGCTGTCTTGCTTGCTGGATTATCGTTCGAGTCACAAGTTCTTGAGTACTTATTTTGTCACATTGCCGGCTTACATCTTCCCTTCGACCCAGCGCATTCATGTCTCCTTGCTGCAAACAGGTGACTTGCAGTGATTGCTTTAGTGGTCTTCTTGTTCCCTCTGCCAAAAAACTTTAGATTTGTCATATGGGCCAGCACACCTGCAGCGGTGCAGCAGCACTGCTGCTGAAACGCTGGGATTTTGCTTTGTACGCGCTGTTTCATATAATGCTCGGGCACGTTCGTTGCCCAGTTCGCTCGTGTTGCTTATTGCTGTATGCTGGCTCTAAGAACCAAACCTGCCTCTTCACCCATTTGCGTTCCCTGCAGGGGCCTCTACTGGGCGCCTGGCCTGCCGCAACCCCAACTTGCAGAACATTCCAAATCATCAGGAGGAATGGCGCTGGATCCGGTAGGTTACCAGGCACCCCACACATGCACCTGCCGTCCTGTTGCTGCTGTTGCTGTTGCAGCTGCTGCTACTACCCAGACTGGTACCTTTCCGACGGCGCTCCTGCTGGAGCGCGTATGGTTTATGCGTGCAAGATGTCCTTTCCCACCACGTTTCTTTCTGGTGTCGCGTTTCAGTCCCTAGGGCTCCTTAGTGCATGTGGGTTACAGGTGCTTGCTGTTGTTTGTTGTCTCCGCAGAAGAGCCTTTGTCCCCTCTCCAGTGACACCTCGCAAGGTAGAGGATCCCTTCAACTGTAGCAGCGACGACCTGCTCAGCAGCAGCCTCTCGCGATCGTCTCCAGGTGTCTCCTCAAGCCTCACCGCCTCTGAAGGGTTCCCGGGAGCCTCTTCTGGGGGCGCCGCTACAGGATCGGGATCGATGTCTCCGTGGCGATTTGTCTCGGTGGACTATTCACAGATGGAGCTGCACATCTTGGCCTATCTTTCAAACGACCCGCAGCTGCTGTGGGATCTGCGAGGCGGCAGAAGAGACAAGGAGACAGAGGGACGCTCTTATGACACCTTCCAGCTCGCAGCCTCCCGTCTATTCAACTGTCCCCCCGAAGACGTCACCAAGGAGCTGCGCAGCATGGCCAAAACTGTCACATATGGTGAGCAGCAGCCCCATCGGCAGAAACAGCCCGTTGTACTAAGTGAAACGCTGGCTGCGCAAACTACGTTTAAGGTTCTCATTTTCTTTGAAGGGACCACAGACATATGGGCAGCTAGTAGCTGCTGGAGAGCCGGTGTGTGCCTCTATGTTGGCGTGCCTGCGCAGGGATACTCTATGGGCAGACAGAGGGGGGCCTGTCTCGGCAGCTGCAGGTGCCTCTAAAGGACGCACGCCGCCTCATTAACTGCTTCTTTAACGAATATCAAGGGGTACAGAGCCTCATGTTAACTCACACGCAATTTGCAGAGGCTACTGGGACTATAGAAACCCTTGTAGGCCGCAGCAGGCGGCTGCAGGGCACGGACATCGTGGAGGAACTTCTACGAGCCCACCCCCAGCTTGCAGCTCTTCTTAACCGCATTGGAGCTGCAAAGGCCCCTCTGGAGCAGCACCAGCAGCAGAGTGTCTCTTCAAGCAACAAGAGAGGCAGCGCGAGAGGCCGCTGCAGGAGACAGGCAATGAACACCCCCATTCAAGGCCTTGCGGCGGACATCATGAAGTATGTCACTGGGAGAGTGGAGCAGCTGCTGCAGTTGCAGCAGCAGCGGGCCTTTGCCCTAAGAGACTCGGTGCATGCGCATACAGTTGGAGCAGCAGACGGAGCATCATCTGCCTGGGGACGACACGTGCTGGAGAGACCGTTGAGAGCCCAAGTGGTGCTGCAGATCCACGACGAGTTGCTGCTTGAAGTCCACAGAGATGATATCTCTCCTGTTTTGGAGTTGGTGTTGCCGGTGATGCAGCGGGCATGGGGGTTGCTGCTGCTGGAGACCGATTGTTTGGACCGCTACGCTGCTCTATGTGAGCTTCAAAAACATATGCGAGACCCCCAGAGCGGCGGCGCCGCAGGTGACGAGGCGGCGCTGCGCATATGGGCCTCCGAGACCGCCAAAAGGGGCCCCACACCTAGGCAGACTACCCAGTGGTTTGCGCTGCCGCCCCAGTTTGAGTGGCTGCGCCCTCTGCTGCAGCGTGAGCTGCCTACAAGTGCGAAGGTGGGTCGAGACTGGTGCTGCTGCTAAGGGGACACAACCGGTTCTGTGCATGCTTTCCCTGTAAAAGCACCGAGTAAACGAGCAATGTATCCCAAGGAGGCTTTGCTGCACATGCAACTCAGTGTTACTGGTGCAGCTCAACAGGTTACATGGGCCCCTTTTTGCTTCTGCATTGGGCATTCTAGGCAGGGAGACAGACAGCACCTGCTTCTCTCTCTGAAGACATTCCTTACTATGCACTGCATGGCAGCTGGGGCGCGGACCAATCTGCCGCAGGCGGCGCGGTCGCCTCTCCATCTATGAGGTGGCTTGCTCTGTCTTCATCTCTTATTCACCAAGCATGCAGAGGTTTTGATCGAGCAGCAGATTCGCTGCAGTGCCTGGTGGCCCTGTGCCTGCAAGGTCTTCGGGGCTTTAAAGGCCTGAATGTTCTTTTTTTTGGCGGGCCGGGTCTTAAATGCACGAAAGACACGCAGTTAAGACGTATTGGGAGGGGATCTGGCTCACACAGCCGACCCCATGGTATTTGCAACGAAATATGATAAATGCTACCGTTGAGCACTAGTGGCATAGGGCGTGCGCTGTTAGCAGCAGAAAAGTACGAAATAGGGGGAACATCGTCTGGCCCCACCATGTCGCGCGGGAGGGAAACGACTTCTATCAGCTAATAGTAATACAGAGAGTGTTTTTAATCACTATACGTAGCGTTTGTGCTGGCTATTTAACACATTTGTCTGCGAAGTTCCCTGAAGAATGAAGTCACCTGCCTGCAAGAGGGGTGGGGGGCGTCGGCATTGTCTTCGAGGCACGAAAGGCAAGCCTAATTTGTTTTCAGGAGACAAATGGAGCATAAATAGAATTATTGGTTTATTTTGTGAACAATTTAATGCTTAAACACCCTGTTTCCGCTGCAAAAGAGCAGCAGCTAAAGCTCCTGGCTCACAAGGCCTAGGGGATCTCTCGGTTTCGTTGCCGCCCCTTACTGGTGAGCCCTCCCTTTCGTCTCCTCCACTTTAGAGACAGTTTCCCATTTCTTCGCCTTTCTACACATGTTCAAATGCTTGAATATTTTGGACTCTACAGTTTATTTTCTCTTCGAACGCGCTCCTGTTGTGGGCAGGTAAGCTACGCGGTCCACTTACGCTGGCTCAGGGAGACCAGTGGTCAGGTAGAGTGTGCCCACCCAAGAAACCCAACCCAACACGAACGGTCTTCTTTGCATTTGAAGAGTCCTAGACGTCGGTCGGAGGCGGATTTGCGTGGAGTCTACAGACGCGGGTGCACTGGCCATGGACAAGGCACCCGTGTGATCCACCGAAGTCTGAGCTCAATATATCACCGGCGGCCGATTTATTCTATTTCCTTTGCTGTTTAACAGCATACCGACCGCAGCAGCAAGGTTTCTGTGATTGTTCTATAGGGGTACGGATGGCAAACCTAAGGGGAGTGGCCCTGGAGGTCCCTGTGAATAGCCCCACGTTCCCTGTTGCTCCTGAAGGGGGCTGCGAAAACAGCCCCAAAGGAACTCTGCATGCTTATGCAGCACTTTCAGAGGCGCCGTCGTCGAGCCCTTACCAACGTATGGGAGGCGCTGCGCTCGAACCACCTGCTGAGAGTGCTGCTGCTGCTGTAGGAATATATGCAGCAGCAGGAGATTATCTGCAGGTATTCTCCTCATTGTGACTATATTTTGCTTAAACAATCACGTAGGAACCTGTCCATGCCTGTACAATGTTTCGCCTAGTGTGCCTGTCTTTGTTGTATCTATTGGCTTTCCTGTCTCATTCTGCTGGCGATCTTTTGGCTTATCTCCTGTCTCCATAGCCTTATTCTGCCTGCGCAAACTACTGTGTACCTGCCTCAGAGAGCAGCTGAGCAAATCCTTAACGGCGAGTCATGCACAGGTGCAAATGCAGTCACAGCTACAACGAACGCCTGCCACGTCAAATCGTTCGAGGAGATCATCTCTTCTGGGGCTGGGCACAGTGCCGTTGCTGCAGGTAAGAGAAGGCGTAGCACCAGAGCCGCATGCATACAGCACGCAGCAGAATCTTGTTCCTTCAACGACACCCAAGGTGTCATCAACAGGGTTGGCAATCCTCGAGACAACGCATGTGGGGCACTAGCGGTCCCACAAGGCACCTTATGGCCCAGCATCTCTGCGCAGCCTTTACCAGACAACGACAGAGACGCTGAGGAGAGAACAGGTACCTCTCGTCCTCTCTCCGAAGAAACAGGAACAGCAGAAAAGGCATTAGGTGGTAAACGACGAATTCGACCTACTCGACGTTATGAAGAATATATGCTGCAGGCTTCTCTGGTTGCCGGAGAAAGCAGGAGACAGAAACAAAACAGCAAAGCAGCTGTCTCCAAATGCAACATCAGGTTATCTGTGACCAGCAAGCAAGAACCAGATACACGGATGACGGTGTCTGCCTGGTTGGGGGTTCCAAGCGGGGGCAAAAGAACAGCAAAAACCCCACCACGACTTGCATGCACAGAGACACCGCCGCAGGGCCCAATGGTGCATGCAGATCGAGGGGATCCACCTCAAGCGCCAAGCAAAAGACAAAGCTCAGGAACACCAAATGGAGGTATTGATGAGACGTCTGGAGGGGTCGTTGCCCTGAAGTCGGCTCTGCGCACACAGCGGCGTGCAGCAGCAGCAGCAGCAGCAGCCAAGAGAGCAACAGCTGCTGCAGCTACGGGTATGACAGTGTCTGCTGCTTCAGCCGTTTCCTTCGCTGTCACAGCGCCCTTCGTTGGAGAAGAGGCGCCAAGTAGAGACAGCGAGAAGGAAGCATTTTTAGATGTGTGCTTCGAAGCTTTTTTTGGACAGGCGGTGGAGTTTCTAAACTCCGAGGCTGAAGCTGTCGCACAGTCCCCAATTACTCATGACTGCATCTCTTTGCTGCCTTCAAAGCAGTCGGCTATCAGAGGTGAAACCCTGGATATCTCACGGCAGCCAACGATGGCAGCTGAGCTTGCCCTGGGGAGGCAAACCCTGCAGCAGCCGACCAAGCACCAGTTGCTTGCTGACATCCCTCTTCTGCCTCTCTTCACGGCTACACTGCAGCAACTGACGACGGAAGCTGATGCAGATGGGGCTCTGGCAGCACCAAAGTCCACGGGCTCCATGGGAGAGCCGAAGAATGATACAGGCAAATGCTTCGCTCGGGCCGCTGAAGCACCAGCTCAAAGGCCGGCGGTTAAAGCTGCGTTTCCTCAGGTGGCAGTTCACCGGCAACAGCAGCAGCAAGCGCAGCAACACGGTCAGCAGCAGGAGCACCAGCAGCAGGAGCTGAACCAGCATGCGGCCCAACGACGGACGACTGTAGCTCCCCCCAGCAGCGGTGACGAGGAGGGGCCCTCCTCTCAGGGTACAAGAGTGGCAGGGAGGGCACTCCGCATGCAACAGCTGGCGGAGGTGCATTTTCTTCAGGTGGACTGTGAACGTCAATACAAGGTGTCTGTCGTGAAGGAATTGCAGGCAGTAGCAGCTCTTTGCTCCTGCGCTGCTTCCCGCAGCATCTGCATGCAGCCTGATTGCATGGAGACAAACCCCTCCTGCAACATCTGTTTGTCGCCAGTGAAAAGGCTCCAGGTGCAGCAAGATATGCTGGGGGAGCGCTTTCAGCAGCTGACGCTGCTTGAACACCTCCACATGCTCGTCCGTGTGCGTAGCATCCTCAGTACGGGTCTCGAAACGGGCAGTGGTGAGGAGGCGACAGAGACAGCAGCAAGAAAGAAAACACATAAGACCCGTAAAGACACATTCCCTGCTCCTGCTGACGTCTTCAATGAATCTGCAGTGAACGCTAGAGGCTACATGTTGGTGGAGGACAGGCAAAACCTCCAAGCAGATGCCTCCACTGGAGATACAGAACGAGACAGCTCGGCGGCAGGCACCTCATGAGCCCCTGTAGGGCCATACAGCAGCTTTCGAGAGGCAGCAAATGGCAAAGTTGCCTCTGCTGCTCCAGCTGCAATTGCGAGAGCTAGCCTACCATACAACGGCGTGTTGCTGTTCAGGAGAAGAGATGGTAGCAGGTCATGAACCTCAAACGTGTTCCGTTTTATGGCGCAGCTCCCGAGCGCCACTGCAGAGACAGTTGCTTGAGCACAGCGGCAAAGGGGAGCGCTCTTGCTCTCAAAGCAGTAGTTGACCCCTCTCTCCAGAGCCTTCTTGCGTTCAAGGGTTTAGGGCTGTAGGGCTTAGTGTTTAGGCCTTAAGCGTTGGGGTTTAGGAACCTTAGAAGGCGCGACTCTGTGTGCACCTGACTGTACACCGCACGCTCCGCAAAATGTGTAAGCAGACGCAGCTTCGCTGCTTTAAAGGCAGAGAGTCTCTCCGCTAGGAGGCGCATGCAACTTGTTTCTCCAGAGCTCGCAAGAACTACGCAGGCTGGAGCACGAGATTGCACGACGACACCCTAGGTGGTCCCGCTGATATGTTGCAGCAGCAGCAGAGGATGGAGCCGGAGCCCCTTGTGGCTGGCAGCTTTTTCTATTTAGTTCTGTCGGCGAGAAGGGACAGCAACTGTAGGGGTATAAAAGCTTCTTTACAGAATGGGGCAATGCCATATGTAGAAGAATACAGGAGGACGCAACAAAGTTGACAAAAAAGGGCAGTCTCGCTGAAGTACAAACCCCAAAATCGACTGTGCACATTTTCCCCCTCCCTCGTCATTTTTCAAAGTGTTCAGTCGGCTGGTGAGTGATTTGTAGCAGCTTGGAGAGGAGGGGATTTTTGTGTCCTGTTGCATTCTTTCAGGAGTCGATTCCAAGTTAGAAAGGAGGAGGGAGGTGTTTAGAAGAACTCTGCTCTCCAGTCGCCGGAAGTCATAGACTGCCTGACTTGGTCACAGGCGTTGACTTCACCGTGGGTTATTGGATGTGCAGAGACACCCTTGTCATCTCCAATTCATTGCCAGGGTTCAAGCTTGAACTGGGCTGTCTCTGGCGCCATCAATGCACTACACATTTGCTCCTTTATGCATTTTAAGGGCAGAGACAGCAGCGTCTTTGGTTGTCTTTCTCCCTCATTATACTTGAAACAGTACCACCTACTGTTTTACAATGAACGATGCCACGGCACAACAGTCGGTTGTTTTGAACAAGTTTCAACCGAACTGCGTACTATGTCTAGATTTTTGAGGCATGCACTGTTGCACATTGCCGGCTTCTGAAGCCCCAAAATGCATGCATTAATGCTTGTAAATCTAACGGCAGCATTATCCCGTAAAAGAAAATTCGTTTGAGGATAAATGGGCCCATGTAGCCACTGTTGTATTTAGCGGTACACGAGGGCTGCGTTCGCTACTGCGGGCACGCATATACTGCCCTCCAGCATCCTTATGCGTGCGGTATAGTGGAGCTGGCATTGATGGGGCTACAGTTCAGAGTCCGCTGGATGTCCGCTTCTCCGTATCAGGGAGAAGAGGAAGAACAGCGGACTGTGTGGCTAAATGCACACAGGTAGAAGGAGGCCGTTATCTGGGGCCTCAGTCTCGACGTTAAAAAGGTTTGGTGTCACACAACTCTGCTGCAAAGGATTAACTGGTGTACACTTTACAAATTCACATGTGCTGTCTTAGGGAAGCCACTGATGCTCGCCATCCGCTCAGGCGACAGCAGCAGCTGCCATCCCGTTGTTACGGATCGTCGCCGTGCTTCGTCTGTTGTAATTCCTCCTTCGCTGCTGCTGCGCACGTGGTTCACGGTTCTCAGATCTGCTATTTCTATTGTTGCATGCGGATCTTGAAGAAGCAGGCCTCGCTGGCTGCTGTCTGGCAGCTGCAGGAGTGGTTCCTCTTTGACCACCCCTGGAGGCCTCTCGCATTTCAGTCGCCCATGCTTCATATCGTGCAGTAGGCTTGATTTGGCGCTTGTCAGTGGCCCTCGCGGGGAGCGTAGGCTTGGAGGAAGGAGGGGGACCCGGCAGCAGGGGAACATTTGCAACGACGAGACGGGGACCTTGACGCCCGACACCCATAGGCCTCTGGTCCACCGCGGGAAAAGAACACAGCCGCTTTGGAGCTGCTATGCACTCGCTTGGTAGATCTGGGGATATCCGCTTGGAGCGCTCCGACGCTGGTTGCACGGCTGGCGGTCTTCTTGATGATCCTGCCCTCCGGGGGGCCGAGGCCGATATTGATGTTGCTCTTGATGCCTCCAGTGGAGAAAGTGCAGTAAACGCTGAAAGCAAGGAGGTAGACAGCACCGCCTGGTCCTGCTGCTGTTCACTGTCTTGTTGCCTTGTAGCTGCTGCAACGACGGCGGCAGCCATTCGGGCCAAGCTCCTGGGGCCGGGTTCGCTCTGCGACACAGATGCACATCCATGAAAGGAATAGTATATAAGACTACAGCTACAGGTATACCTCCACTCACGTTAAATACAAGATAGAATTTGCTAGGAGGCAGGCCAAAAGTCGTGCAGTCTAAGATATTTCGTGGACATGACTCGAAGGAGGCTTACAGGGCAACAGCCCGAAGAAGCATTGTCAACACCGTGGATTAGAGCCGCAATGTCAGCTTCGTTGGCGAAAGCGTCGTCGACATTGGGGCTGCTGTTAGGCTGAATAAAAGAAATTCGCCCATTTATGTCCTCTTGTGGTTGATTGCAAGTGATGCCCGGGGGTATGGGAATGTTGAGGGCGTCTCCCAGTGCTTTGGCCGACAGAAAGAAGAATGTCCTATCGTTGCCGTCTCCGAGAGTTACACAAGGACTGGGGCATTCAGAAGATGGGTAGAAGAGGTAAAGCGTCTCTTCATTATCCATAAGCGGACCTTCTTGCCGTGGGCTGCGGTCACCGTCAAGAACAATGTTGGAGAGAGAAGGAGCCATCGTGATGTGGAGTTCAAACAAAGGCTTCTGTAAAAAGACTTTGAAATCACTCAGGCAAACCCAAAAGTATTTCCTTGGAGTCAGGCGACCGCAAGAAGAACTGGTTAGAGATCACTCTGCCCTGTTGGCGTTGCGAATCGATTGGCTGAGAGAGAGAGAGAGAGCAAACACAAGTGGGTTTAAAAAGAAAAGTCTTCAGAGGATTCAAAATCAATTGTAAACAATTTCATTAGTTGCCTTGAACACATCAAAATAGATAGTGAAGGTAAACCTCACAAACAGAAACGAGACACCCGCTCTGCTCTTGTCCCTCATAGGTCCAGGTGACAGCCATTGAGGCGATGGCCTGCGGTCAGAGGCCGAAAGCTAGCTCAGGCGCCCTTTTGTCTGCTCTTATTCTAGGTCTTATCTTGAGCAGAGCACCAAAATAAGTAACAAATATTAAATACAACAGGTACAGACAAATATACACCTCCTCTTCTGCGAGCCCCCCTTCGAGGTCACTCACAGAAAATCTCCATTGGCATGATCCCGTCGGACAGTAATCATTCGTTGGCTAAACTTGTGAAACAATAAAACGGCATCTTTATGTAATCCTTTTGGGTCTATGGGATATTTCTCCCTGTGCCGTCCCTGTGTCGTTATGGAACTCTTGTGCAACGATACCACTTCTCGTGCTACCACCTAGCCTGACCAGTGGGCATTGCTCCTCAGCGGCGATGCTGCAGGCCTTATCTCTGCCTAATATTTTTTATATTTATGGTTTTAGCATGAAAAGGTAGACTCAAGCGGTTTGATTGGGCGTTGTTGCCGATTCAGCTGTTCAGGAAGGGGTGCTACTGTTTAGTGTGTTTACTGCGCTACCGTGGTGATGTTCCCTTGGCCGCACCAAGACGCTCACTCTCCCCAAACTAACACTGTGGGGCCACTCTCCTGTGTACTACGGGTGTCTCCACACCTGTGTCAAGAAGCAACTACACCGCTTGACGCCGGCTACTCAGGCCCGGGTGATGGGATATCCCATCGCTCGATCTTGATTCATTCTTAAGCTCGTTAGTTGTGCTAACAAACGCTAAACTACTACTCCTAGGTGTTAAGGGAGAGCATCCCTCGGAAAACCCAAGCAAGTGATATTATTGCGATAGTTGCTACAGCTTCAGGAGCAGTATTTGCTAAACAAGTGTTTGTTAGAGGAGCAGCATTAGCTGAACAAGTGTTTGTTAGAGAGTAAATGTTGATTAGATCATAAGAAGCATCATTATTTAGTCACTTGTTGACATGTAATTAACGGGCATTACTTATTCACAAATGTTTTCATAGTCCCTTATATAATATCCGAAGGGTCGGCCGTGTATCCAGGAGCTGGTACTTTTCTAACATATAAAATGGCAAGAGGGAAAGCTGAAGATGATGTTTTATTTTTTTATGAGTGAATTCACTGACACATATACTGCAATTGGAATAGAAATGTTCATTTCCAATTTTTGCGACAAACTAGAATTTCCCTGGATAGGAATACAGATTAAAAGAACAAAAAGTATTTATTCGTCTTACTCAAGATCTATTCTCTGAAGTAAGCTAGGGACGTTCTATATACTCTTGTATCTCTACGTTTGGTGCCGCGCACTAACGAGATACGAGTAGGGCTCCGTCTGTCTGGACGTCGGTGCATGCACCTGAATACGTTCGTCTACTCTTCATCACGGCTTTCTAGAATAAGGGAAGCAGGCCTTCGGAATCGGACGACGGTTCAAGTCTGATAAGCATATTCACTGGTTTGCATGCCTGCATGCATGCATGCTTGCATACAAGATATCTGCATTGCATGCACACACAAACAGTCCTATGCAGCACATATTGATACACGCATGCATCTAACAACAATGTAGGAGCTGCCAAACAGTAGCAGGCTGCGGGCGTTGCTACACCGTTTAGCCGCTGCCGGCTCTGGCTCCTGCAGGTCCCTGCCAGCGGCTTGCTGCTGCTGCTGGTCTGCGCCTCAGTTACAACTGAAGCAAACGCATGCAGACCCACCAATTTGCTGGCTGCTAAGAACCAGCTACAGCGCGGAGCATAAGATATCCCTAAAGCGGCTGCAGATGCCGCAGCCATAGGAGCAGCAGCAACAGCAACAGCAGCACTGCTGCTGCGCTGAGGCTGCAGAGCTATCCCGCGTGTCAAGAAAACACCTTTTTGCGAAGAAAAGGCGTCTCAAGAAAGAGTAAAGAGACACCTAATGGCTGTCTTCTCCCCGGTGTATGTACACCTTACACCGCGGCAGACAGCAAATAATTCCTGTGGAATTCATCTCCTCTCCCTTGGAGCCAAGGAGACACCCTGCGCACTTTGCTGCCTTGAAGGAGACACTTCTCTCCTCTCAGCTCTCTCCCCCGCAGGCCCATCTCCTGGTCGACGCCTTGCAGCATGAGGATGCCGCTCCCGTACTGCAGGCTGTTCTGCTTCTGGGGCTCGGCTGACGACGTCATCAGGGACTCTGCTGCTGCTGCTGCTACTACTACTGCTATTGCTGCTGCTGCTGCTGCTGCCATTGCCACCATTGCTGTTGCTGGAACTGTTACTGGTACTGTTGCTGGTGCTGTTGCTGGAACTGTTACTGGTACTGTTGCTGGTGCTGTTGCTGGTGCTGTTGTTGGTGCTGTTGTTGGTGCTGTTGCTGCTGCTCTCGGCTCCAAGGAAGGCCTCCAGTCCCCCCAACAGCGCGAGCTGCTGCAGCTGCTCAAAAAGGACGTCTTGTTGCTGCTGAAGGCGCATTTGTTGTTGCTCCTGCTGTAGTTGCTGCCGCTGCAGTTCCGCTTCACTGGGGCGGCGTTGAGACTGCACGCTGACTCCGAATGCATCACGGTTACCGTTGCCGCTGCTACTTCCACTGCTACTGCCGCTGCTGCTGCTGCAGCTACTCTCTGCAGCTTGCTGCTGCTCCTCTTTCACCCTCGCAAGCAGAAGAAGGTGCCGTTTAAGGTCCTCCTCGAGTTGGTCAAGCTCCTGCTGCTGCCGCTTCTGCAGCTGCTCCCTTGCGTAGTGTAGCTTCTGCTGCAGGTTTTCTTCCGTGATCCCGTCTGCGCCGTTAAGCTGCCGCTGCTGCTGCACACGAGGACGCCCCTGTCCCTTTTGCTTGTCTTTGGCACACTGCTGCCTGTGCTGCTCCAGCAACTGCTCTTGTATCATCTGCAGCTGCTGATCGGCTCTCTGCGGTGGGGCCCTTAACGAGGGCAATGGCGGTTTGCGGCCATGCTGCAGCAGAAACCGCCTCACGGACTCAGGCTGCACTTGAAAATCGGCAGCAGTAGAAGCAGCAGCAGCAGCAGCAGGGGTAGCAGCAGCAGGAGGCCCTCCCGACGCCCCCTGTGGTGTGGCTTCCCGCGCCGCTCGCGACGCCATCTCCTGGAAATCAGCAGTCAAAGTGCTGTGCTGTTGCCCCACTTGCTGCTGCTGCTGTGACCCTTGCTGCTGATGCTGCTGCTGCTGCTGCTCTTGCTCGTCTTCTTGCTCGTGCTGCCGCTGCGATGATGCTTCGGCAGCGGCTGCTGATGCCCCTGTCTCTCTCTGGGGCGTTGCAGTTTGTGCAGGCCTAGAGGTCCCTTCTGTATCTCCGTCTGTCTCCGTCTTAACGAGGATTTCGTCCGAAGCCTGTCGCCCAGAACGGGGCGCTGGCCCCGCTCGTTCCTGGTCCCCCTGCTGTTGCTGCTGCTGCTGCAGTTGCGGTTGCTGTTGCTGGTCTTCTTCATCAGTGTTGCCTCTGAGCACGCCCATGGCTCTGTTGAAGAGGGCCTGCACCCCGTCGTCAGGAGGGAAGGATTCGCTGGGTCCTCGTGACCCCGCAGGTTCTTCTGCAGCTGTTGCTGCTTCCGCTGCTCCTCCTGTTGCTGCTGGTGGCTGCTGTGCGAGGGGCAGTGCTAGTGAAGCAGCGGCAGCAGCAGCGGCAGCCAAACCTGTTGCAACTGCACGGTCGATGCTGGGAGGTGCCCGTGGGGTTGCTGCTGCTGCTGCTGTCTCTAAAGCATTTAAGTCAAGCCATGGTATAAGACGTCTCTTACGCGTGCTAACAGTACCTCCGTTGGGGGACGGCTGGCAACCGGCCACAGCAGCAGCAGCACCTGGTCCTGCTCCTGCTGCTCGTGATCCTGGTGCTGCTGACCCTCCCGCTGCGGCGTCCCCATCTGCGTGGGAAGGAAACTGCTCTACTGGCCTCTCTTTCCTCTTGAACCCCCTGGGACCCGCGTCTCCTGCTGCTGCCCTTGCTGCTGCTGCTGCTGATAGTTTGCGGGGCTTCCTCTGCTGCTGCTGCCTTGAGCCCATATGCAGGGGAGACCGATAACTATCCTCTAGCTTTGCTGCTTGTTGTGTGTCCGCTATGTACTCTTCATACCGCGCAGGCCTTTTAATTCTCCTCCTGTCTCTTGGCTTCGGGCCTTCAGCAGCAGCTGTTGCTGCTTCTCCTGTGCATGCTTCTTCTGCTCCTTCTGCTGTTGTTGGTGCTCCTGCTGCGGAGCCTGCTGCTGCAGAATCGTCTCCCTCCTCCGTACTCAACGCACCTGCAGATGTCTGGTCGGATGGCCGCCTGCTTCTGACCCTCCCGCCGTTTGCTGCTGTTGGTCCTGCTGCTGCAGTTGCTTCTGAGCCATCTAAGGCACCTCTAGAGCTGCTGCTGCTGTCGTTGCTGCTGGTAGCCTCATCTTTCACCGACGCAGCTACTGCAGCAGTCGCGCCATCGTCTTCCATATAAATGCTGTTCCCATTCTGGCTGCTATTGCTACTACTACTACTACTGCTGCTGCTGCTGCTACTAATACTGCTGCTGCTGCTGCAGTTGCTGCTACTGTTGCGCCGCTTGCCTCCCCTTGGAGTACCTCCTATCCTTCTGCCTCCTCTGCGACCCTTCCTATGTGGCTGCTGCTTCGGAGACACTCCATCCATAGAAGCAAGACAGCTGCCCCCCTCCTCGTCTTCCCTTCGAACTGTCTCCTCCTGTACTGTCTCCTCGTTCACTTGCTCCTTTCCAGCTTCCTGCTCTGCTGCAACAGGGCTTCCGCCGTCTGCTGCAGCAGCAGATTTCGCAGTACCAGCTGGTGAATCAGCTTCTGCTGCTGCAGCAGCAGTTGCTGTTGTTGCTGCTGCTGCTCCCTCCATGGACTTGCACTTTTGTTCCGTCTGCAGCACACGCACAAGAAATGTCATCACCTTAAGATGCACCACCAGAAGAAGTGCTGCAGTTAAATAGCATGACAGCCCCAAGCGAAGAGACTCTTGCTGCTGCTGCATGGATGCTGCACCCTAACTGGCGCCATGAATGGACGCACGCATGCATGAATGTATGTATGTATGCATGCATGCAAGCATTCATGGCGCCAGTTAGGAATGCCTGTATGCCTGTAACGCCTACCTCTCTGCATGCAGACTCTAGAGAGGAAGCCTGAGACTGTGGAGACAAAGAATCCTCTACAGTAGATGCAAGGGGCCTATCCCCTTGTCTCCCTTGCTGTTGCTGCTGCTGTTGCTGCTCGGGGCCCCCATCAGCATCCATGTCCCGAGGGATCGCCACACTCAGAGCCGCAGCCCAACCACCATCGGAAGCGGCCATCGGTGAAGCAGATGATACAGGGGAAGTAGAAGCTGCTGTAGGTGAAGCAGCTGCTGCAGCAGCAGGAGTGGCCTCAAGGGGGCCCCCGTGTAGTTCTGCTGATGCAGGCTCCCCAGGGCTGTCTGCTGAAGTGGTTACACCACAAGAGCAGCTCTCCTGTTCTTCTTTTTCTGTGGGGCAAACTTGCCCTTGCTGCTGCTGCTGTTGCTGCTGCTGTTGCTGCTGCTGTTGCTGCTGGTGTGACTGCTGCTGCTGCTGCTCTCCCTGAGGGGGGCTGTCTTGTGGAGACTGCGTCATCTCCAAGAGGCCTCCCGCGCCCCACACCAACCCCGGGCGGAGGGGTGGGAGGAGCGACTGCTAACGAGCAACAAGGAGACAGACAGAAAAGGAGACACCTGAGGAGAGACACCTGGGTGAGGAGCAGAGGGGACGCAGAGTCTCCACATGCAGCAGAAGCAGCAAGTGCAGCAGCAGCACCAGCAACAGCAGTGGCAGCAGCGGCAGCTCCCCAGGTGTACAGGCAGGCAGACGCCCAAGCAATGTGAAACACACAAACAGGAGCAGCAGCAGCAGCAGGAGCTGCAGCAGCAGTTGCTGCTGCAGCTCCTGCTGCTGCTGCTGCTCCTGCTGCTGCTCGTGTGTGCAGCAGGGTCCCCCCGTGTCTGACCTCCAGCTCTTTGACGTTATGCTGCAACTCAACACTGCAACAGCAAGATAAAAGAAGCAGCAGACGAAGCAACAGCAGCTGCAGCAGCAGCTGCAGCAGCTTGCTTCAGTGACTCGCTAAAGAGAGAGGGAGGTCCGGGGCGCAGCTCCGGAGATGGCTGCTGCGGCTGGCGCTGCTGCTGCTGCTGCTGCTAGTTGAAGGCAGCAAAAGAGATAAATCAATAAAAGAAAGAATCTACCGTAGGGAAGGACAGAGAAGAAGAGGACGCTGCAGCTGTCTGCCCTCTTTGCGGTGGTTTGGCCCAGGAGAGCACCGCTGCTGCTGGTGCTGCTGCTGCTGTTGCTGGTGCTGCTGTTGCTGCTGCTGTGTGTGTGTTTTGTTCCCCTGTATTTGGGGGGTTGTTCTAATAATATTACCCTCTTCTGTTAAGAGGCATTAAAAGAAGAAAAGAAGGAAAGAAGAGGAGAGAGATTAATTGCTGCTAGCGCGAGGCCCTGTGTTTGGCGAGATGCGCGGCGCTGGGCTGGGCAGGAGACAGCACAGAGTGAGGAACTTTCTGCTGCTGCTGCTGCAGCTGCTGCTGTTGCGGCTGCTGCTGCAGAGACAACTTAAAAACACCGTGAAAATCGCTGCAGCAGGTCTTAAAAGAGTCAAAAACTTTAGCTGGGAGCGCCACCTCGCCAAGACCTCCACTGTCGCCACATAACCAGAAACAGCTGCTGCTGCTACTGCTGTTGCTGCTGCTGCTGCTGGAGCAGCAGCTGCTGCTGCCTTCTGTGACTTCTTCCCTTTGAAACGCTGATCAAGGGCCCTAAATCATTGCTAAATAGTCTTTACATTCAAGAAAGGAATTCTCTTTATACAAAAACAACAAAGAAACAACCATCTTCTGGGGGGGTTGTTGGCAGCCGCAGCAGCGGCGCCGGCAGCAGCAGCAATACCACCATCTGCAGCAGCAGCAGCAGCAGCAGGGTGGTGTAGCCAGGGGTCCTTTAGCTTCTTGTTGTTGCTGTCTTTTGTATTTTAGATAAAAAACACCTTTATGGTTAATCATAAACAGAGCTGTGCATACACCGTAGATCTACTACACACCCTGCAGCACAGCAGCAAGCTAAAGGGGGGCCAGAGAGGCGGGAGTAGCTGTATAAGGGGAGCCACCACCCCTTCAAGGCGTTTATATATTTAAATATTTTAATTAATTGTTTTTAATTAGTTTTAATTATATTTAATACTTAGAAACGCTACTCTTTAAGCGCACATACTCCACTACAACTGCCATATTTGCTGCTGCTGCTGCTGCTGCTGCTGCCGCTCTCCTCCTACGAGGCAGCAGGAACAGCAGCAACAGCAGCAACAGCAGCAGTTTGTAGTGTGTCCCGTTCCTTTTTCTTGTTTGTTTTATTTATTTCCCCCATCCCTCTATTTTAATTTAGTTGATCAGGCTGTTTATTCTTCTATTTGTTGCCTTCTCCTCATTGCCGCTGCACTTTGCTGCTTTCCTCCTCGCTCCCTGTATCCTTCCTGTTTATGTCTTTGTTTCTCATATTGTCTGATTGTCTCCTTTGTCCCCCTTGTCTCCTTTGTCTCTTCTTCCTGTCTGTTTATTCGCCTTCTCTTTATAGTATCAATAGTAACAATGCCCCCTTCACAACTTGACATAAACGGCGATAAAGAAAATAATGATTTCCTTTATCTAGACTACAACGCGACCACTCCTGTACACCCTGCTGTCTTCCTCGCCCTGTCTCCTTTCTTACAGGGTAATACCCCACTGCAGCAGCAGCAGCTGCTGCTGCTTGTGCAGCAGCTGCTCTCGCATGCAGCTATTTCCTTATGTCTTGTGTTGTATGCATGCCTGCATCCCTCCCTCCTTCTGTCTCTCCTGCACAGTTTACACAATAAGCCTATACAAGAGTTCTTCTATTGTTAACAAATATTGCATGCGTCTCATTAGTTATCATTTAACCCCCGAAGAACACCTGTGGGGTCCCTATGGGTCATCCAAAAGGGGGCCCCTCCTGGTTGGGGCCCTAAGGGGCCCCACGGGCCCTCCCGAAAGTGGTCGCCGTAAGGCGGACCCCTCTGGAGGGGACACCATAGAGCGTCACTTGGGGCCCTTTTCAACGTGGTTACCGAACGGTGGCCCTCCCTGGGAGCGGCTCATCGGGTGTCCCATCGTGGTCCCCGCAAGGGGCCCTCCCTAGTGGGGGGCCCCAAGGGGCCCTAGAGGGAAAGGTGTAGGGGGCCTCTTGCTGCTGTTTATCGTATTCTGTGCTCTGAAAGATCCTCTGTGTATCTAGGGTGGTTTGGTAGTGTCTGCTCTGTTTTAGATGGTCCTGCTGCTCCCGGTGCTAGTGCTGCTTCTGCTGCTGCTACTGAGTGTCTCCTTTGGCAATCGTGGAGGGACTCTAGGCCTACAAAGCAGCTTGTAGAGGTGGTTTCTAGCTCAGCCACAGGATCATTTTGGGGCTTTATATGCATGCATGCATGCATGTATAGATATACACTGATGCATGCATGCATGCATGCAGGCCAGTTTGGAAACCCCTCCAGCAAACATCCTCTCGGCTGCGCTGCAGCAGCAGAAGTATCTAAGGCACGAGAGGCTGTTGCTGCTGCACTCTCTGTACCCCCAGAATGTATTACTTTTACTAGTGGAGCCACGGGTGCGCCTGCATGCGTTGCTGCTGTATCTGCTGTTGTGCTGCGGCTGCCTTTGCTGCTGCTGCATACGCTGCTGCTGTATGCGGTGCTGCTGAATATGCTGCTACTGCACACGCTGCTGCTGTATGCAGTGCTGCTACATATATGCTGCTGGTGCATATGCTGCCGATGCATATGCTGCTGCTGCACGGGCTCCGTTTGCAGCGGCGATTGATGCTGCTGCATGCACGCCAATAAGCAAAGAGGTTTGACGCAGGGGCTTTCCGTAGTGGGGCTGCATGCAGCAGCTGCTTGCTGCATGCGTTCTCTTCTTCTTTAACAGAGAGTATTAACTGGGCCCTCCGATCTGCTGCAAAGTCAAGCAGCAATGGGGGCCCCTCAAGGGGCCCCATCATAACCTGCGGCCTTGAACACCCAGCCGTGCTGCGTGTCTTTGAGTTCCTCCGTGTAAACCCTAAACCCTAGAACCCTAAATCCTAAACCCTAAGACCGCATGTACTGCACAGGGGCGTAAGCTTTTGTCGCAGGGGACGGGGGTCGCGACAATCCACAAACCCTCAGGTTGCTGTTGCTTCTGCTGCTGCAGCTGCTGCACCTGCTGCAGTTCGTCTCTGTCTCTGTTGATTGTTTTGCTGCTGCAGGACGAAGAGGGTTTTAATATGCAACTGTCTCCTGTGTCCTCTGATGGTCTCCTCGATCTCCAAGCCTTTGAAGCACTTCTTACCCCGGACGTGAGGAGTAACCTTGCTGCTGCTGCTGCTGCCGCCCCCACTGCTCCCTCCACCTGCTGCAGTCCATGCAGTTGCTGTCTCTGCTGCTGCAGTCGCTGCTGCACGTGTTGCAGTTATAGTCGTAGCACTTGGTCCAGCAAGAGTGTGTGTACTTTAGTTTGTTGCTGCAGTTATTTTCTTTTTGTTTTCTTCTTACTATATTTATCTTCTTTTTTGCTGCTAATGTGGTGTATATGCAGACAGCGTTAGTCAGCATTCCCTTCGCTAATGGAGAAATCGGCGCAGTGCAGCCAATAGACAAGGTGCGAGAGAGGCCTTAGATAAACCCTAAACCCCAAGCCCTAAACCCTAAACCCTAAATTCAGTTGACGGGGAACCTGATTAGCTCTATTTATTTAGTCTCTGTTAGCTTCTGTATTCAACCTTTTGTGCCCACGTTGTTTAGTGTTTAGGGCCAAGGGGCGATTGAAAATCTAGGGTTTAGGGTTTAGGGTTTGTGTGTTTATGCTATAACAGGTAGTTGCTGCAGTTCGGAGGGTTTGTCCTTCTGCCTTTATTCATTGTGATGCCTCGCAAGCATTAGGGAAGGTGCCTGTACACCCCATGGACTTGGACATTGACTTACTTACGAGTAAGCTGTCTCCTCTCTCTGTGTCTCTGTCCCCTTTTGTCTTTTTCTCTGTCCCTCTCCCTCCCTCTCTCTGTCTCTCCTCACTTGCTGTATCGTTTGTGTGTCTCTCTGTCTTCTTGGTGTGGTGGCCTTGTCTCCTGGCCCTCGTGTCTTTGCTGCCAAATACACGAGGAATACTCTCTGGTGCCTTGGTCCCTCCTGCAGTTCTATTCTGTCTCCTTTTCTGCTGCTGTTGCGGTGTCTCCTGTCTCCTTTTGGTGTCTCCTTATTTCTTATCTGCTACTGTCGTGTCTTTGCTGCTGCGCTTTGCTGCTGCAGTTGCCGGACATAAGGTATATGCACCTAAGGGGATAGGGGCCCTTTATATCCGCAAGGGTCTACAACTGTCTCCTCTTATACTAGGGGGGGGACAAGAGAGGGGACTCAGAGGTGTACGCACAAACCCTAAACCCCAAACCCAAATAATGGCCCCCTTACAGGGCATATTATATCTTTTTTCTGTCTCTTAACTGTGTCTCCTCTTTTCTCCTAATAGTGTCGCCCTAACCCTTCTTCTCTCTCCTTTGCCTTGCCTTGCCGGCTGCCCTTATTTGCCGTATCCTGTCTCCTGTGTCTCGTGTTTTATCTGTTGTTTCCTGTCTCTTCCTTCCCCTCCACCGTACTTTTCTCTGGTCTTCTGTCTCCTCTCTCCTACCTGTCTCCTGTCTCCCGTCTGCTGTACCCTTTCTTGCTTCTGCTGCAGGGTACGGAGAACGTGGCATTTGCCATGGCTTTAGGGACGGCCTGTAAGCTAATCAAGCAGAGTTGGGAGGCAGCAAAGTGGCCTCTGTCCCCAGAGGCGATCTCTGCTGCTGCTGCTGCTGCTGCTGCTTCTACCAGCGTAGCAGCAACAAACGGCAAGTGCGTGCAAGATGATCCCCCCCACCCCAGCAAGCTGGCGTTTGTTGCTAAGGTTTTTGTTGATCGTTTGTGGGCTTCTTTAGAGGCGAAGACATCTGTCCAGAGACAGAAACGTGAGTCCCCTTCGCTAGCCTCTCCTCTGCTGCACAAGCAGCAACAGCTGCTGCTGCAGCGGACGCACTTGCTGTAGTTGTGCATCACTTCCTGTTCTGACCGGAAGGCTTGGTGGGGCTGGAGCTGTTGCTGTTGCTGTTCCTGTTGGTGCTTGCAAGCATGCATATATGCATGCAAGCATTTGTTGCATGCAAGAATTTGTTGCATGCGTGCACTCTGTGCTTGTTGCAGTTGGGTCTGCTCTGCGATTAAATGGTCCCCTTGGAGCAGCCGATCCCTCTGTGCAGCAGCAATGGCTGCCAGGGACAATTCATCTCTCTGTCCGCGGTGCATACGGCTTTGATATAGCTAAAGGCCTCGCAGTAAGAACCCTCCCCTCTGCTCTTAACATTGATGCATGCATGCTTGCATGCATACATGCATGCATGCATCTGTGCATGCGTCTTTGCATGCATGTGCGCATTCATCTGTGAATGTATGTGCCCATGCATCTGTGCATGCATGCAGGAAGAAGAAAGGGTGTTTGTATCTGCTGGTGTAAGTTGCCATCAAGGGAAGACTGTCTCTGGCACTCTCTTAGCGATGGGCCATAGCAGCGATTGGGCCCTTGGTTCTCTTCGTATAAGTGTAGGTAAGCAACGAAGTGTCCCCTTTTCTTCCTTTTATTATAAACTACTGTCTCCTTTTCTCTTCTTCCTTGTTTGGGGTAAAGGGCAATGGGCCCTTGCAAAGCCACATGACGGTGTCTCCTCCTTCTGTCTCGAGTGTCCCCCTCGATGTCGAGTGTCTCCTCTATTCTACTATATCAAGTGTCTCCTTCTTCTGTCCCCTGCCTCTCTGTCTCTCTCTGCAGGGAGGGACACTTCTGTCTCCGATGCAGTAAAGGCAGCAGAGAAGATGGCAACATATTTAATTAATCATAAATTGCTGCATCTTTAACAGGTTGGAGACACTGCTATTCTGCTGTCTCCTTTATAAGTTGTATACACCTGTCTGTCTCCCTCCTCTTTGCTGCCTCTGTCCCCTTTTCGTTCTTTACCGTTGTATCTGTCTCTTGCTTCCTCTGTCTCCTTCTCTGTTTCTGTCACTCCATCTACGTTCTCCTCTCCCTCTTTCCTACTCATTCCCTCTGTCCCTTTTGTATGTCTCTAAGGAGACATTGCCACCGTGTTGTCTCCTCTGGTGGTGTCTCCTACCTGGGCCTTCTTAAACGTCTGGCCACCTCTACTGCCTGGCATTGTCTCCGCCCGATTCTCTATTTAGCCCCCAGTGAAGGGGCCCCCAGTGAAGGGGCCCCATAGCAGGGTCTCCCAAGGCTTTGCATGCAAGCAGCAATCTTTAGGGACATGCATGCAGCGAGGGAGGGCCTTGGCACGAGGCAGCTGCTGCTGGCGCAGCAGGTGTCTGTCCGTCTCTTTTTGTTTTATTTGAACCTTTCGTGCCATCTGCTGCTGCTGCTGATAACCATACTATTAGCAAGTAGAGGGACGACAAGGAGATCGACACATCTAGTCCTAATTGTACACCTAATGTTTACCCTTTGTACAGAGAGTCAAGATGATGCAGGGCGGCGGACGCATGCCCTCTAGAGACTTTTAGCTGAGCAGCAGCAGCGGAGTCTGTGCTGCTGCTGCTGTCCTGGTGTCTGTGGCCCTACGGAGCCTAGCACATAATTGCTATGAGGGTGTTCTTATAGCCCTTAGCTCTTTTTCCTTGTTTATGCGTCATAGGGGACAGATAACTGAATATTTATTATATATACTGTGCATATTATATCTACTTATATACAATATAATTACTACATCTATAATAGGGGCACTTCCCTCTTTATATATGCCTTCCTAAAGGGGCCACCTAAAAGGGGGGTTCTCGTTCCCTTATTTGCAGTTATAATACATGCAAGCCGAGTGCGCCTGTTGTTAAGCGGTAACAACTTGCTACTGCTGCTGCTTAGAGTCGTTTAACGTGCAGGGCCCCATGGGGCCCCTGCCGTTACCCCTAGGGGTAGGGATCGGGCAAAGGGGGGGGAGGGGATGTTGCTGCCTAGTTAGGGTACAGTAAGGAGTTATAATGGGGTTTGTGCGGTTTAATAAGTATAAAAGATAGGGAAAGCAGCAGCAGCAGCAGCAGGAAAAGCAGGAGCAGCAGCAACAACAACAGCAGCAGACCATTTATGACACAGGGTGGCTCGGCGAGGCGCTGCTGCTAATGCTGCAACGGCTCCTTGTCTGACAGCAGCAGAAACAGTATTGTTGCTGCATTATATTGATTAATTAATTACTAATAATAAAAACAATATAATTAAAATAAATAAACAATATAAAAAAGGGATAAAAAGAATATTTCTTCATGCAAGCGCAGCAGCAGCAGCAGCCACAGCCCCAGGCAACAACTTGTATGAGAGCGCCTTGCCTCGCGGCCTCAGTGAGAGCGATCTGCTGCTGCTGCTGCAGCAGCAGCAGCTGCTGCTGCTGCCTTGTGCTTCTGCCTCAGCCATTTGCTGTTGTTTGTTTGAATTAATCTCGTTAAAAGAGTGTATTTATATAGTTCTTGTTTCTCTTTCGGTGCATGCTGCAGCTGCGCCGGTGCTGCCGCCGCTGCTGCTGCTTCTGCTGCGCTGCTGCTGCCGCTACTGCTGCTGCTGCAGCTGCAGCTGCTGCTGCTACCGATCAATTCCATCTTGCGACTCGTCTTAATATTGCTGATCCTTATTTAGCAGCTTCTTCTTTATAAAGAACACAGCAGCTGCTGCAGCTGCAGCTACCGTCTCCTGCTGCTGCTCCCGCTATACACCTCAAGGGGGGGAGGGGCCCCTCGCTCCCTTTCTCTTTTTCTCTTTTCTCTTTTTTTTTCTTTCTCTCTCCCTCTCCCTATGAGCAGCAGCAGTAAGAAGCAGCAGCAACAATGAGGATTTATGCCTTATTCTTCTTTGCTGCTCTCTCTTCCTCTCCTCCTGTACTAGGGGGGGAAGACTCACCTAATAGCTCTTTTAATAACCCTTTCTTCCCTCGTTCCTCATCAGTACCCTGGGGCCCCTCATCTGCCTCCCTAGGTGGGGGGGCACTTGGAGGGGGCCCCTCCCTAAGAGATCCTTTATCAGATGGGGGCTCTAACAGAGGAAGCAGACTGGGAGGAGGGGCCCCCTCCTTGGGGCCCCCCTCCAGGAGGTCCTCCTCTGATGATAACAGTCATGGGGGCCCCAATGGTGGTATCCCTGGATGGCCCCCTAGGCCCCGCTACAGTCTCCTTGAGCAGCTAGAGAAAGAGAGTCATATGGAGCAAACAGATGTAAGCAGCAGCAGCAACAACAGCAGCAGCAACAGCAACAGCAGCAGCAACAGGAGCAGCAGGAAGGGGGCGGTAGGGGGTCATAAATATAGAGAAAAGTCAATGATGTAGTTGCTGCTGCATTCTTGTTTGTTAATTTACTGTTTTTCTTTCTGCTGTGTTTGCTGCTGCCGCTGCTGCTGCTGCTGCTGCTGCCGTTGCTGCTGCTGCTGCTGCTGTTCAGCTATCTTCTGACGAGTCTACACAAGATGACCATTCTGTCTCCGATGATACATGGAGCTCTGTCCCTGGTAGGTGGGGAGGAGACAGTCTCCCTTATGAGGGAGACAGTCTCCTTAATAAAGGAGACAGTCCCTTTATAAAAGGAGACAGTCCCCTTTATAAAGGAGACAGTCCCTTTTATAAAGGGGACACTCCTTGTACTCAAGGGGACAAGTTGATGTGCTTATATCTACAAGGTTTGGCTGCTGCATGCAGCACTCTTGCTGCTCCTCCTGCTGATGCTCCTGCTGATGCAATTGATGCTGCTGCAGTTGCTCCTGCTGCTTATGCAGTTACTGCTCTCGCGGTTGCTGCTGCTGCTGCAGTTGCTGCTTTTTGCAGCTGATGCCTCCGCAGTTGCTGCTGCAGTTGGTGCTGCAGTTGGTGCTTTTGTTGTTGCTGCTGCTGTGTCCCTTCATTGTCTTCTTGCTGCTTCTTGTGTCCCTCTATTATGTCCCCTAACTGTCTCCGTAGGAGACACCAAGAAAGGAGACACATAAGGAGACAATCTCCTTATATGTCCCCTTATAGGTCTCCTTATGTCTCTTCTTTATGCTGTCTCCTTTATAGTGTCTCCTTATATGTACCCTTGCCTGGATGTATATATATCCCCTTATATATGTCTCCTTTTATGCCCCCTGCCCCCTCCCTTATCTGTCTCCTTATGTGTCTCCTTTTTCTGTGTCTCCTGTTGTGTATGTGTGTCCCTTAGAAGCAGCAAATGAGGATACAATAACAGCAGCAGACCTAGCTTGCTCTCCTCCTCGTTTTTTGTCTCCTTTAGGCCCACCAAGGGCAATAGGGGACTCACAAGAATTATTAAATGTATTTAAATTATTTAATAAACAACAAACAAGTCATAAAAAAAATAAATTCTTATTATTTGTATCCGCGGGGACAGGAGAAGAGCTTATTGGTAGTAGACAAATCTCACAAAGATGTAAGTGTCTCTTTTTTTTTCTTTTTTTCTTAACGGTCTCCTTTTTTAACTGTCTCCTTTTATGTCTCTCCTCCTTACTGTCTCCTTCTAAGTGTCTCCTCTTTCTATTCTTCCTTTTGAAGTCCTTTATGTCCCCTCATTTTGTGTCTTCTGTCTCCTTTTCAGTCTCTCCCTTTACACATCTCCCTTCCCTCCCTCCCTCTCCCTCCCCCCCCTTATAACCAATTAAAATAATTGTCTCCTCCTCCTCTATTCAGTTATCCAATTATATCTTTTTTTTAATGTGTGTGTGTGTGTGTTTTTTTTTTCCTTAACAGTAGTAGTACAGCCAACAGTACGTAAACAACGTACAGGTTTTTTTAGTCCATCGGACGGTGTAGCAGAATTAAGTGATGATGGAAAAATACAAGTTGAATTATTACGTCAATTATTTTATAATTTTGTACAAATAATAAGGAGACACCCTCAGGAGCAAAGGAGACAGTATTGTTTTGATGTATTTTTTACCTCTACATTACAGTCTGGTATAGAGACATGTTTAGAGGCATTTAATGGTTTATTAGAGGCACTTGCATGTCCTGTTGGATCACCTGGTGCTGCTGTTGCTGCTGCTGCTGCTAGTGCTGCTTCTGCACAATCCTCAGCAACAGCAACAGGAGGCAATTCAACACCAACAAGTGTCCCTTCTTCCCCATTACCTTCTGTACCACCAACACCAACATCTCCATCACCAGGTCATCCTCTATCTCCTGTCTCCTTATCATCTGCTGCAGCAGCAGCAGGAAGCCAATCCCCTAATTCTCCTTATCCTCATGGTCATCACCATCATCACTCATCAAGCAGCAGCAGCAGCAGCAGCAGCAGCAGTACTCATCAACAAGCAGCAGATGGATATTTATGCTCAAATGTACGATTTGTACCTATTCCTCATCTAAGAGAAGTTGTTGAATCTGCAGGAGATATAGGAGAATCTTTTCCTGTTGTACTAAAGAAAACAAAGACATTAAGGATACAGAGCGGATTTCAGCGTGATGTCTTTGATTGTCTTGTTGCTAATTATGGTCTTTATTGGCAAAAACAGCAATTAGGTGCATTAGGTGCTGCTGGTGGTGGTACTAGTTCTGCTGCTGCTGTTGCTGCAGCAGCAGCTGCTGATCCAGCTGCTGCTGCTGTCGCAGCTGCTAAAAATGCAGCAGCTAGATCAAGACCACATGGTGCAGCAAGGAACTCTAACCGTCATAGCAACAGCAGCAGCAGCAACAGCAGCAGCAGCAACAACAACAACAGCAGCAGCAGCAGCAATAATAATCCTATTACATTGGAGAGCATGGAGGCACAACTATCTGCATTAGATAAAGTAATTAGTGGTAATCCTCTAGATGCAGCAGCAGCAGATGTACTGCAGCAGCTAGATCGTTTATCTTATCCATTAAGGAGTTATGAATGTATAAGAAGAAGAGAGGGACTAAAAAGGACATGCTTATTCCTAAGAGAATCAGCAAGAGAGGAGACAGTTATACAACGTGCTGTATGGACAACACCAGAGGAGATGGAGCCAGATTATGCAGAGACAGATAGCAATATATTAAGAAGGGGACTGTCTCTTCTTAGGTCCCTTTGTGCTGTCTCCTCTGCTAATAAATTCTTATTAGCCTCCCACCCTAAGCTAATAGAGAGACTAACTGGACACCCTATAGATAACGGAGAATTATTTGCTGTCTCCCTTGATTGTGCTGCCCTATCTAGGGCATTAATAGAGGCAGGACTTAAGCCTTTTGATAGTAAGAAAGCGCATTAATATAAATACTCTATTGTCTTGCTGTTGTTGTTGTTGTTGTTGCTGCTGCTGCTGCTACAGCAGCAGCAGCAGCAGCAACAGCAAATCCAATTGCAACAGCAGCAGAAGCAATAACGTGCAGCAACAGCAGAAGCAGAGGTTATCATGCCATGCAGCTGCAGCTTGAAGGATTGAGGAAAATGTTTGAAGAAAATGGCAGCAGCAAGGGAAGCAGCAGCAGCAAGAGCAGCAGCAGCAGCAGCAGCAGTAGCATAGAGGCAAACACCTACCGCCACCTGTTGCTACTGCAGCTGCAGCAGACGTTGTGGGAAACCAACCTGCTGCATCTGCTGCTGTTGCAGCTGTAGCAAATGCGGCAGCAGATCGGCTGTGTTGCTGCACCTATTGCTGCTGCTGCTGCTGCAGCAGACATTGACAGGACGCTGCTGCTGCCATTGCTGCAGCAGCATGCGCTCCGAAACAGAAGCCTCAGCAGCAAGTACAGCAGCAAGGGCAGCAGCAAGAGCAGCAGCTGGACCGTCCGAATGGGCATGAATGCATGCATGCATGCATGCATGTATGCATGAGTGGATGCATGCATGCATGCGTTTGCTGCAGAAACGAAGAAGAAGAGTTGCAGCAGCAAATGGGGCTGGTAGCAGCAGGGAGCTGGGATCGTCGGGATCGTCTCCTGTCTCCTTGCTGCTTATAATTATAATTATACATTGTGGTGTATTATAAAGGGTTTATTATATTGTAAGGGAAGAAAAAGAATAAATAAATAAATAAGATAGAGGAAAGGGTGTTTATATGGTGGGGCTGTTTATTTATATTTATTATTTATATTATTTATTATTATATATTTAATTGGGGTGTATATACACCATTTTATCCACCAAGGGGAAGGAAAAAAGAAGAATATTATTTATTTAATTTCCCTTCTTTTAATAGCCCTTATAGCCGCATATATATATTTATATTTATAACCCTTCTATGGTGGACTGTTTGCATGCCTGCATGCATGCATGCATGCCTACATGCATGCATGCATGTGTGCATGCATGCACGCATGCATGCATGCAAAAAGGTGTTTTTTAAATATATTTATTTACTAGCTGTCTCTTAAGACCAAGTGTCTACTTATTTGCATTTCAAGTCTCTGGGGTGTATACATGGCGGACTACCTCTGCTGCTGCTGCTGAACTCTGCAGCAGCAGCAGCAGCACAAGCAGCAGCAGCAGAAGCAGAAGCAGTAGAAGCAGCAGCAGCAGCAGCAGAGTGCTGCGTATAGATAAGTTGTTGGGTAGAGAGATACAGCAAGAGGAGGCGATGGGATCCGATCCCGCCCGATCCCGCAGATAGGCACACAGACATAAACCCTAAACCCTAAACCCTCTTAGATCTATTAGAGAGTCTGCATGCGCATACTGCATGCATGCGCGCATGCAAAATGCATGCATAGGCGAGATGCTGGGGCTGGACAGGCAGATTGTAGGGTGCCCCTGTATAGAGGAATATAATATATATGAATATATAATACATATTATGTAATATATATACATTATATATATGTATATAAATAAGCCCAATAAATAGATATATTTATATAAATAAGCAGAGCAGCAGCAGATGCAGCAGAAGCAGCAAAGGACGGAGGGGACACATCTTGGTTATGAAGACACACAGGGGAGACAGAGAGCAGCACGAACGGATGCTGCATGCAAAAAGGGGGCACGCAATAAATGCTGCAGCAAGCAGCAGCAGCAGATATCTCCTTAGCTAACTGCGTCAATCTACCTACACACACTCAGACAGCGAAGCCCCTTATAAGCATAGTCATGAGTAGCAGCAGGTAGCTGTAGCTAGCTGCAGCTGCAGCTAGCCACAGCTAGCTGCTGCTGCTGTCTTCTGCAGCAGAAGGCATTAAGGTAATAGAAGGGGTGGGGGATCGTCTCCAGCAATCATGACCCCACAGCCGTCCCCCGCTAGGGACAGCAGCAGGTCCCTATAACGTAGTTACTTAGCTAGCTCGCTAACTAGCTAGCTGTGGCTAACTGTGGCTAGCTGCAGCTAACTGTGGCTAGCTGCAGCTAGCTGCAGCTAGCCATTACTAAGAGGCTTTTATAGAGGGGCACAGGGAGAGTAAGCATTAAGGAACTTTGTATAATAATATAAATATTAATAGTATTAATATAATTAATATATTATAATTAATTATTATTACTGTGTTATGGTGTACACACACCGTAAAAGAGCAGCAGCAAAGAAGGAAAAGTATTTCTTATTTCTTTATGCAGCCCCAAGTTGCATGCATCAAGCCCCGAGGGTAAATTGTGGTTTTCTTTGGCTATACCACCTTATAAGTTGTATATTAATGAATAATAAAAGAAAGAATTTAATTAAAATGTATTTTGTTCCTTTATTATAACATAAATATCCTTATTAAGTCCTCTTCTTCCCTCTTGGGGTGTACGTGTTGAGCGCGGCGCATCTGCTGTTTTCTTGCTGTTGCTGTTGCTGCTGCTGCTGCTCTAATTGGCTCTTCTTTCTTTTGTTAATATTCTCTTTATTGTTTAATTAAATAAAATAGTAATGATAAGGAGATAAAAAGAAAAGAGGGATTAAGGCAGGTATCTTGCTGCAGCCTGTCGTGGCGGTGGTGGTGCTGCTGCTGTTCTTCCTTGCGCTGCAGCAAAGCAGCAGGATTGCCATTGCAACTGGAGCAGCAACAGCAGCATCAGCACCAACAGCAGCAACAGCACTAACAGCAGCAGCAGCAGCAGCAGCATGCAGTTGTTGTTATGATTCTGCAGCTGCGTTGTGTGTAACAAAGCCGCCATGACTGCTGCTCCTGCGAAGCAGCAAAATGCTGCTGGTGCGAAGCAGCAAGGTGCTGCAGCAGCAGCAGCACCTACTAATGCTGCTGCTTCTGCTGCTGGCTCTAGTTCAGCAGCATCAATGACGAATCATCCACCAGCAGCAGCAACAACAGCAGCAGCAACAACAGCAGCAGCAGCAGCACGACAGCGTGAATCTAAGGATGGCGCTAGCCTCCAATCAATATCAGCAGCAGCAACCCATCGTTTTGTACCCGTCAAGCTAATCAGCAGCAGCAGCAGCAGCAGCAGCAGCAGCGGGACACAAGATGGTGGTATAGATCGTAGCTTACTTGTTGATGCGTACAGACACTGCGATTTGCATGCAGCAGAAGAAAACTTCAATCTGCTGCTCACTAAGAGGCTTGAGGTAATAAACCCTAAACCCTAAACCCTAAACCCTAAACCCTTAATAGTATTATTATATATCTAGTCAGGCGTATGAATATTAACTCATAACTGCAACAGCAGCAACAGCAGCAACAGCAGCAGCAGCAGCAGCAGACTGCAGCAGCAAGTGTTAATGCTAGATTGTTGCTTCTCTCTTTTGCTGCCACTGTCTCCTACTCAAACCCTAAACCCTAAACCCTAATTCTGCGGTGTATGCTGAGGTTGTAGACATTGTTATAATCTATTGGTGTCTCCTTGTGTCTTTTTCTGTCTCCTTTTACACATAACTAAGTGCTTTATTTAATGCTGCTGCTACTGCTGCTGCTGCTGCTGCTGCTGCTGCTGTGTCCTTAGGCCTGGCGGCAGCGGTGTCTCCCGTACATCCCCTTAGCTCTTCAAGAAGTTAACATAGGCGATTGCTGCAGCTGCAGCAGCAGCAGCAGCAGCATAAAGAATAGCAGCAACAGCAGCAACAGCAGCAGCAGTGCATGCAACAGCAGCAGCAGCAGCAGCAACAACAGGAAGAGTTGCCGTTGCCGTTGCTGCTGCTGCGTACGTGCTGTAGATATTAGTGTTATAATGGTGTCTGCTGCTCAGGAGACAGAAGGAGACACATTATCTTTTTTTTATGAATTTGTTTATTGTGTCTGTTGGGGTCTGCTGCAGCCAGCAGCAGCTGTCTCCTTTATCAAGCAGCAGCTGCTGCCTCGCTGCTTGCTGCATTTGCTGCAGTTATTAAGGGATGTACATGATCTAGCACAAAAAAGAATTGCTGAGCAAGATAAAGCAGCAGCAGCAGCAGCAGCAGCAGCAGCAGCAGCAGCAGCAGCAGATTCTGCTGCAGCAGCTCTTAAGGTTAAGAGCGAATACCATAGCGATAGCACTGCAGCAGCAGCAACAGCAGCAGCAGCAGCAGCAGAAGCAGCAGCAGCGGGTGCTGCTGCTGTTAAGGATGGAGAGAAACGTTTAGCCGATGAGGGTCCCTCATCTGCTGCCTCACAAGCAGACTCCGAGGCAGCAGCAGCAGCAGCAGGAGCAGCAGGAGCAGCAGCAGCAGCAGGAGAGGAGAAGAAGGAGACAATTGAATGCGTCTCCTTTTCTTCTTGTTTCTCTGGTGTCCCCTCTGTCTCCTCTATAGATACAATAAGAGCAGCAGCATATATAGCACATATATTAGGTCCTTCTTCTTCTATAGGATATTCTATAAGAGACAACAGCAGCAGCAGCAGCAGCAGCAGCAACAGCAACAGCAGCAGCAGCAGCAGCAGCGGTCTGCTGCCTCAGCCATTCTTAGCTATGTTATTAGATGGTGTATCTCAATGTGCAGAGATGATAGCAGGAACAGCAGCAGGAGCAACAGCAAAAAAAGCTAGAGCTAACTTAGCAGGTCTGCTGCTGCTGCTGCTGCTGCTGCTGCTGTTACTGTTACTGTTACTGTTGTTGTTGTTGTTGCTGCTGCTGTTGTTGTTGTTGTTGCTGCAGCTGCTGTTGCTGTTGTTGCTTATACTGTTATTAATGCATGTGCTATAATCCTGCTGCTGCTGCTGCTGTTGCTGCTGCTGTTGCTGCTCTTTCTGCAATAAATGACTGCAGATATATATATATTAATATATGAATTAATTAATTAATTAATTAATTAATTAATTAATTTATTTTTTTTTTCTGCAGCTTTTTTACGTTTATTAGAGTTATCTTGTTTATGTTTATGTCGTGAGATCTGCGGTGTTGTATCAACATCACGTCTTGATGATCTACAATGGTCACGTCTTCCTCTTATAGGTACTACTAGTACGGGTCCTCGTGCTGCTGCTGCTGCTGCAGCTGCTGCAGCAGCAGCAGCAGCAACAACAGCAGGAACAGCAGCAGCTAGTGGTGGTAGTGGTACTGGTGGAGCAAGAAGAGTTAATGAATTATTAGTTAAGGAAAGAACAAAAAGAAGATTTACTCTTAGTGTATATAATACAGCAAAAGAACATCCTTATTTATATGCTAAATTGCATGCATTCTTAATACATTATGTCTTGCATCCTGTACGTTATTCCTCTTGCTGCTCCTCCTCCTGCTGCTGCTCCTGCTGCTGATGCTGCTGATGCTGCTGATGCTGCTGCTGGTGGTGATGGTGGTGGTGGTGGTGGTGATGGTGATGGGGATTTTGCTGCTGTTGCTGTTGCTGTTGCTGTTGCTGTTGGTGTTGTTCAACCTGCTGCTGCTTTTGCTGCTGCTGCTGCTGCTTTTACTGCTGCTGCTCTTCTCTTTCTTTTGCTCCTGCTGCTGCTGCTGCTGCTGCTGCTGCTGGTTCTATAAGATATATTATATATATATATA